GCCTTCCTCCTCTTTCCTTTTTTCTACCACCTTCCTTTTTTCCTTTCTTCATTCTCTCTCTCACTCTCTATCTCTCTTCCTCATATCGCTGCCTTAAAATGCTCAGCAAGAAGATGCGATGAGAAAATACAAATGGATGCTCGAAGCGCGAAAACATTCGGTTGGTAGAAGCCCTGCAACGCACTCCAATATAGTGTGCCATTTTGGTGCAGTGGTCGCCGAATAAGGGTAATGCCCATCTTACAAAAGGAGTCCTGTCAGACTATAAAATGTTAACTTCGTTTCTCTGCATTTCCTTCAATGTTTTCTTTTTTATTTTGAAAGGTGTAACCGGAGTTAAATGTCTTGAGATTAGGTACACCGGAGGACCGTACGTTTGTTGAATAGCGCGCTAGTTTCTTCTTTAAATTTTGAGTTAGGGTGCTTACTGGTGCTTCAAAGCAACAAGCGGCATTTTTCCGTCAGTTTATATGTGCTTGTTGAATTATTTATTCCTTCTACATTACTATTCGTTCAGCAAGTAGCCGGCTTTGTTTTGTTGCAACTTCCAAATTTCCTTTTTTTTACAGGCGGAGACCGCTGTCAATAAGGAAGTAGGAAGGAAGACTTCAATTGCTCCTAGATTTACCAAAAAATCGAAATTAAAGTTGTCTGAGTACTTGAGAAATATGGCTACTCCTGAAATTGAAGCGGTGAGTTGCTGCAAGGACCTATATTTTTAATTAATCAGACGACAACTTAATTCCTCATTCAGCAACTAGCCCCACTTCGTATTGCCGTGAAAGAGTATGGAGATCTCATCCGGGAGCTCAAGGTAAGTGCTTTTTCATCCAGAACAGAATTCCGCTGTGTTTCCCCTCATCAAATCAAGCATTTTCGGACTGTGTTGAATGGTCAATGAATTCTGTCCCTGTTGCTTCAGGCGAATGGTGCTCCAAAGATCGATATTGATAAAGCGGTCGTTGAATTGAAAGCGAGAAAGAAGAAACTGGAGGACACGGTGAGCTCATGTTTCGTCTTCTGTTCTCGTCTTCATTTCCGTTTTGCTACATAGTTAAGGTAGGTATGACCTAAGTTGGCCTTCGAAGTATTATAGTCGTGAAGTGCTTATTAAGACCCCAGTTTTTCATGGTTTCTCACTCCAGCTCCCCTGTTCATGGGTGTTTTGTATGAAAGTCCATTTGCACTTGCCAGCCTGCAGAGTACTTTGAAGACAGGAGGCACGATGGCTGTGGGCGGGCGGTTACTGCCAACGTCATTGGTCGAAGGGCCGAGTGGCGAAATGCCCTTTTCGCAGCCCTTCCACTAATGACGTTGGAAGTGGCCGCACCCCCCCCCCTCCATCATGCCCACTGCCTTAAAGAGCATCCGATGGTTTAAGGTGCTAACGGAGTTGGAGAGGAGGGACCACTCACCGCATCTTCATATCCATTCCCCTAAATAAGAGTGAAAATTCCCAGAGTAGCCGAGAGGATTAGGCCCACAGGGGTGGCATATAATAAGTTCCACTGGGCCTATGTCTCCATTAGGAGAAAGGGCATGGACGTGCGATAAGTGGATCCATACTTCCCTC